GGAGCTCAGAAGGTGGGCGACTGTGACCAGTGATAGTCATGTATATAGAGATTAGAAATGCATGTGAAAACGTCTCAATGTCAATATTTTCTTATTTTTATTTTATGTGTGTGTATTGCCTGCATGTAGGTAAGTGCACCTGTGTCGTGCAATGCCCGCAGAGGACAGAAGAGGCTGTCGGATCCCCTGGAACTCGAGTTACAGACAGTTGTTAGCTGCCATGTGGGTGCTGGGATTCAAACCGTGTCTTCTGCAAGAACAACCAGTGTTCTTAACCACTGAACCATCTCTCCCACCCTGAAACAAATCTTTTTCCATGTTACTTTATTAGTGTCAACAAAGTCTTTCCTCATTGTCCATGGTGGATTGGTTGAGAACACCTCACAGATAACCGTGTTCTATGATGCTCAGACAGCTTATGTAAAATGGTATGGTATTTGCCCCAAACCTTTATACACCTCCTGTGTATCTTAAATCATTTCTAGATTGTTTAAATACCTGATACAAAGTGAATGTTATATAAATAGTTATAGAGCCATGCTTGGTGGAGAATGCCTATAATCTAGCATTTGGAAGGCTGAACAGGAGGATTGCAAGTTAAAGACCAGCCTGGACTACTTAGTGAGACCCGGTTCCAAAAAAAACAAAATCGGGCTTAGCCATTAGCCACTTAGTCATCTCTCTAGCCCCTTCCGTATCTTCCTGACATATCTGTATTAGTATTTTAAAAACTTTTTAGCACCATAAGATAACCGAAAGCTTAGCTTGTATTTTTCCTGCCCCACTCCTGAAACTAACATTCTTATATGAAATGCTGGTTCCCATTAAGAGACTATATTTAGGGCTGGAGAGATGGCTCAGAGGTTAAGAGCACTGACTGCTCTTGCAGAGGACCCAGGTTCAATTCCCAGCACCCACTCCGTATTAAAATGGTGGAATGAATGAGAGGGAAAATTCTGGGCTCCATCAGCATTGGTCAATTGCTATAGCAATTGGAGGTCCTGGTTCAAGACTGCTTGGTTCATGGCATGCCCATATATGTTGAAATTATATTAAAAAAAAGCCAGGTGTGGTGGTGCACGCCTTTAGTTCCAGCACTCAGGAGGCAGAGGCAGGTGGATCTCTGTGAGTTCAAGGCCACCCTTGTCTACATGGTGAGTTCCAGGACAGTTGGGGCTGCAGAGAGACCCTGTCTCAGAAAGACCAAAAAAATAAAATAAAAAAAGAGACTATATTTAGAAAAGAAATGTGTGATTATTCCTCCTTAGTTGTTATTGTTTCTGGGTTCTGCCAGTGCAGAGCCAGGCTGTGTATGTGTGGGTATTTGTGTGTGCATGAACAAGCCTATATTTGATCCTATGTGTATAAGATTATGTGGATTATAAACCATAATACTTTTTTTTTTGTACAGAGTCTCCTTGTAGCCCCAGCTGGAACTCACTATGTAGGTTTTTAGATCCACCTACCTCTGCCTCCCGAGTGCTGTGTGTGTGTAAAAAGGTGTGTGTGCCACCACGTCTGGCCACAATATTTTTTAAAATTTTTATTTATTATTTTTTAATATTTTATTTATTATTTTTATTTTATGTGTATGAGGGTTATGCCTGCATGTAAGTAAGTGTATCCATGTTGTGCAATGCCCATGGCAGTCAGAAGAAAGCATCAGATTCCCCTAGAACTGGAGTTACAGACAGTTGTTAGCTGCCATGTGGGTGCTGGGATCTGAACCCCAGTCTTCTGCAAGAACAACCAGTGTTCTTAACCACTGAGCCATCTCTCCAGCCCCTTATTTATTATTTTTATTTTATGTGTATGGGTATATTGCCTGCATGTATGTGAGTGCACCCGATCATGCAATACCGCGAAGGTCAGAAGAAGGCTTTGGATTCCCCTGGAATTGGAGTTAACAATGGTCTGCAACCGCCATGTGGGTGCTGGGAATCGAACCCGGGTCTTCTGCAAGAATAGTCAGTGCTCTTAACCACTGAACCATCTCTCCAGCCCCCAACCATAATACTTTTAATTCAGTCCAACACCACAGATTTCATTCTGGCCTCTCCTTGTTTGTGACTCCTTGTCAAACTGTGAAAAATCTGGCTCTGATAATTGTATACCATAAAAATGTATTTCTCAAATCATATATAACACCATGTTGTTTTGGAATTGCAAACACATTCCTGTGTAAGCAGCAGATTTACTAACTATAGCATTTGTGTGTAGCTTTTTCATCTTTAGCCTTATATAGTCAACATACTAAAGTTACTTGTTTTTTCCTTCCTTTTTCCAATTTTATTATGCTGTTCACTTTGGACAGGTTCATGTGTCACTATCTTTACATTTTGATTTCCCTGACATTATGTTCAATTTAAATTATCCCTTTATTTTTGAGGGTATGTGAAACATTGCCATGGTTGTAAATCAGACTTCTATAAGCAGTTGTACTTTGAGAAGGGTCACTGTCACTCAGTTATTCTGTTTCTGCCTTCCTTTTCTTTCTGTCCTTTTCCCATCTACCTCAAAAGATAATTGAAGTCGTTGGCTTTTGTTTCTCCTTCCTGTGTTTTTATGGGATGCAAGGCCAGATACCTGGATATTTTGTTATATCCCCTTCTTTAGATTCTTTGGTAGACCCTGGTTTATTTCATTTAATAATGTATCATAGCAATCATGCCATTTGTCTTCATAGAGAGCCTCGTTTTTTGCTTTGTTGTTTGTTGTTTGTTTTTGTTTTTGAGACAAGGTCTCCCTATAGACTCAGCTTTCCTGGAACTTGCTGTGTAGACCAGGCTACCTTAATCTCATAGATCTGCTTGCCAGTGTCTCTGCCTTCCTAGTGCTGTGATTAAAGCCCTGCACCACTACGCCCAGCTCTCATTCTTTTTTTTTTTTAAATAGCTGAATTGCTGAATAATATATAACATAAGATGGTTTGTTCTATAAAAATAGTACTTTCTATGATTATCATCCTATGATAGATTTCGAAGGCCCAATTAGACTGGCTGTGAAGGAGACTGAATGCTTCTAAATGACACCAGCTCTGTGCTCTAGCTCAGGTTCACTACAGGCTCTTTAGGCTCCCTTCTTTTCTCCTTTACCCCTCTGGGCTTTGGCTTGCTTTTCTGCCTCAAGAAAGCCAGCTCCTTGCAGACATTGTTAAAGCAGGAAGACTCACCAGAATACAGCCCTAGCCCTGGTAGACTGTGTGGGCACGGTGTTCACAGGTATTGTCTCTTCTCTGCAAATGTCAGTTGTAGTTTTGCTTGTAACTGATATAAAAGTATGTGAAAGATGTTGCTGGGAGCAACCCCACTTTTTGCAGTTTAGGCCAAGATTGCATCCTCCATTCCCTGAATTCTCTCATAACTTTTTGTTAAATTGAACATTTCTTGTTTTAGAATTTAAAGCATACCAAATTTAGCATATTGAAGAAAAATTTGAAATGTGGGTAAGCAGGGAAAAAAACCTGTTAGAATGCAAAATTTTACTACTCAAAGAATGAATGTCCCAATTGTACACTATCATTTTTTTCTTTTTGCTGTACTTGGGAAAGGTTGTAGTGTGTGTGTGTGTGTGTGTGTGTGTGTGTGTGTGTGTGTGTGTTGATGGTATGGCACAAGTACCACAGCATGCATGTGGCAAGCAGAGGACAACTTTGTAGAGTTGATTTTCTCCTACCTATATGTGCATTCCAGGAATTGAACTTGAGGTAGTTAGGCTTTGCAGCAAGCACTTTAAGTTTGTTTTGTTTTATTTGTTTTTTTGTTGTTGTTCTTTTTGAGACAGGGACTCCCTATAGCCCCAGCTGGCCTGGAACTTACCATGTAGACCAAGCTGGCCTTGATCTTGTGAGATCTGCCTGTCTCCACTTTCCCAGTGTTGGGATTAAAGGCATGCACTACCATGCCCAGCTTGTAGCAAGCACTTTTTTATGTATTATTTTTATTTTATACGTATGAGTGTATCGCCTGCATGTATGTGAATGCACCCATATAGTGCAATGCCATGGAGGTCAGAAGAGGGCTTCTAATTCCCCTGGAACTGGAGTCAAGGATGGTTCATAGCCACCATGTGGGTGCTGGGAACTGAACCGGGTCCTCTGCAAGAGCAGTCAGTGCTCTTAACCACTGAGCCATCTCTCCAGCCCTTTTACCCACTGAGCTCTCTGCTGGCCTCTTGGTCTCACTTCGTAGCTAAAGCCAGCTTTGAATTCAGGGTTGTTCTGCTTCAGCCTTCCATGTGCTCATAGTGCACGTACCACCATTAAATGACTTCACTGTAATATTGTTGAAGAAATATTTTGTTTCCCTGGTATATTGACCTTTTTCTCCTTTTTAAAATATAAATAAGGTATTACATATGAAAGACTTGTTATCTGCTAAAAAATTAAGACTAGCTGTGGGTGCGGTGGTGCACGCCTTTAATCCCAGCACTTGGGAGGCAGAGGCAGGCGGATCTCTGTGAGTTCAAGGCCAGCCTGGTCTACATAGTGAGTTCCAGGACAGCTGGAGCTATAGGGAGACCGTCTCAAAAAGACCAAAAAAAAAATAATAAGACTAAACAATAGTCAGTTATCTTTATCAATACCTTCGGAGGGCTTTGCATTTACTTTATTTTGTATATTCATATGTACTTGTAAGCTTCTGAAATACATAATTTTAAGAAGTATGTGTACAAAGCTGGAGAGATGACTCAGTGGTTAGGAGTGCTTGTTGCTCTTATAGAGGACCCCCGTTCAGTTCCCAGCTCCCATGTCTGGTGACTCAGAACTGTGCCTCCAGGATAAGGGGATCTGAAGCCTTCTTTTGGCTTCTGTGGGTACCTGCACTCAACATGCACATAACTCTCCCTCCCATACACATTATTAAAATTTTTAAAAAAAAATAATGTTTAAAAGAAAAAGAAATAGGCATGAAGCTTTGAGGATATTTTGGTTGGAAGTGGCATTCTTGCAATCCAGTGTTTCTTGTCTTCTAGTTAAAATACACCCGCCCTGGGTTGCCTACCTTCAGCCAGGAAGTACTGCACAAATGGAAGACAGATATCAAGAAGTATCATCGCATCCAGTGTCCTAACCAGGTGGTTCTTCCTCTTTTATTATTCCAGTAAATGTTATTTCCATCATTGATTCCTTCATGGCAAAGCATTTGAACTGTAGTGGATTCAAGCAGCAATGATTACATTTGTTCAGAATTGTGTGGCTCCATAATTCTGTCAGGGAGCAGCAAGACACCTCTGCTGCTATATGTGGCATCAACAGGGATCACTCATGGGGGACAATGAACTGGTGCTCAGATGGGACTGGAATGTCTCATGCAGCTGCATTCAGCTGGCAGCTTGGCACTCCATGTGGCCTCTGGGATAGCTGGATTACATATATGATTCTAGAAACAAGAACATAAAAGGTGCAGGACTCTCAGAGGCTCACCTCAGTATGTACACAGCATCACTTACATGGCATCCTGTTGTCAAAGGCTAATAGTCACAGGGCTAACCAAGACTCAGAGAAAGGGTGACTAGACTCCACTTCTTGATGGTTAGAGTAGCAGACAGTTCATAGCTGTCTTTAACACTGGTGCCATACTTGATGGTGCAGTACTTTCAAGAGAAATAAATAATATCAAATAAAATGACATTTAAAATACAGCTCTAGCCAGGTGTGGTGGTGCACGCCTGTAGTCCCAGCACTTGGGAGGCAGAGGCAGGCGGATCTCTGTGAGTTCAAGGCCAGCCTGGTCTACATATGGAGTTCCAGGCCAGCTGGGGCTACAGGGAGACCCTGTCTCAAAAATACTGAAAAAAAAAAAAAAATACAGCTCTAAGGGGCTGGGGAGATGGTTCAGCAGTTAAGAGCACTGGCTGCTCTTTCAGAGGACCTGGGTTCAATTCCCAGCACCCACATGGCAGCTAACAGTGATCTGTAACTCCAGTTCCAGGGGATCTAACACCCTCTGCTCACCTCCGTGGGCATTGCATGGTACCAGTGCACTTACATACATGCAGGCAATACACTCATACACATAAAATTGAAATAATAAGCAAAATATTTTTTAAATGAAAAAAAAATACAACTCTAAAACTACACAATTCTGTTAAAGGTAAGAGAAAAAAACAGGGAAAGGAGTGGCTGTCTTTCCCTGTCTTTCTGAAAGACCTTGCTCATCTTCTTCCTTACTCTGTTTCCTGCCTGTCTTTGTGCCTTTCATGTGTGTTCTTTTAGTGTTTGGTTGGTGGCACTGTTGACTGGTCTTCTACAGCTAGATGTGGAACTGATTGATGTAAATGATCAGCTTGCTAAGAGAAGGGTCCTGTGTGGCATAGTATTCACCTCATTGCTTCTCTCTTACAGGGTTGTGAGGCTGTCTACAGTAGTGTATCTGGCCTTAAAGCACACCTGGGCTCTTGTACATTGGTTTGTAACATTTTCAATGTAATATCTTAATATGTCTTCTCTAGTAGTCTGGCATGGAAGAGAACTCAGTTTAGGTGAACAGCTAGTCTCCCATTACTGTTATTTTCAGAGGCAGCTTTGGCCTCAATATCTCTGAGATTCTTGGTCTCATATTGGGTGGAATGACAGAGTATATCCAAGATACAGAAAAGACCAACAAAGCCATAAGGGATATCCATTAAAGGAAATTGATGGAAATATATGACTTTGGAATCCCAGCTAGAGATTACTTTCTTTTCCCTAGTCCTCACAGGACCTACCTGTCTTATTTTGCCATAAGCTTCCTAAAAAGACATATGTGGCTATCTGGATTGAAGATCCTCCAAACTCATCTGGACTCTGCCGGCCTCTGGGAAATGGGAGATGGGACAGGGCATCAGGCTAACAGCCAATCACCTCACTGAATCTTTTCCATGTTGACCCAGGTGTCCTACAACCCACGAGCCATGGGAAATGCTGCCACTTTTCAGTCCCATTCAGAAGTATCTCCTCACCCAAAATGAGCACCATGGAAACCTGCAGCTTCAGGAGGGGAGAGAGAAGTCTCAGTTCAAGGCAACAAGGGAGTTGTAGGCATCCCAGCCAGATCTGTGCAGCAGTGCTTAGGAGATTGTCATCTTGATCCTAGTTTCTGAGTCCTTAAACTAGGTATTATGGATGGTATTCTTCTAATTCTGGATTTCCAAGGCACTGTTTGCCACAGTGGATCACAGTGGGAAGGACTGAACCATGGTGCCTCTGCTGAACTTGGGGAGTTTGATCATTTTTGGGGAGCAATCAAGAAAATCTAAAAGTGAAGTTGTGAGGTTGAAAGGAAGCTGGGAAGGTAGAAACATGGGGTATGGAGCATAATGGAAGTAAGAGGGGCCCAGGTCATGTTGAAGGTGGGGTGGATGTTGGCACAGAGTGGCACCAGGACAGGTGTGTATTAGTGAGAGTCTGTCTCAGCCAGTTTTCCTAAATATATTGCTGTTTTCTATCATTTCCCATGATTTCTGATTATTTCTAATGATCCCTGCATAAGGCCCTGAATTTACCCATAATTCTCTTTTCCTTCTGTTTTTGAAATAGGGAAACTTTGTGGCTGGGAAATACAAGTGTCTTCTGTGTCAGAAAGAATTTGTGTCAGAGAGTGGTGTCAAGTATCACATCAACTCTGTCCATGCTGAGGTGAGGTCCCTACTTTCCTCTAGTGCTTTTGTAATCCTGTGTGTCCCCTCAAAGACATAAGAGGTGGACTTTGTTCATGGCTTTATATGCTAGGACTGTCAAAGAAAGTAACTTTGAAGAACTCACCAGAGTTAAAATGCTCTCTAAAATTAGATGAGGAATTGTATTTTATTTTTGTGGTGTGTGTGTGATAATACTTGTACTATAGCTGAGCATCTGTGAGCTCTTCTAGTTCTATTAAATGTAATTAAATGAAACATGTGAACCGGTTTAATTGACATGTTTGATCTTGTTTTACAGCAGTCTCTACTGTTTCACTTTCTGGTGTTCTAATGTTTTCCAACAGTCCGTTTTTAATGCTGCTTACAATACCGCATAAAACAACTCTGAAGTGCTTTTCTGAATCAGATTATGCTTGGCATGGTGGCAGATGCCTGTTAGTTCAGCTCTTGGAGGTAGAGGCAGATTGATCAGGTGTTCAAGGTCATTATACCTACCTATCATTTGGGGGTGTAAATGCTTTCAATATGTATCTCTAAAAGTCAAGGACATTAAAAAACATACATGGCCTAGCAGTTAAGAGCACTGACTGCTTTTGCAGAGGACCTGGGTTCTATTTCCAGGACCTACATGGTGGCTAACAACTGTTCATAACTCCAGTTCCAGGGGACCCAATGCCCTCTTTCCACCTCTGCAGGCATTGGACGACACAGGTGCACTTACATACATACAGGCAATACACACACATAAAAATAATAAAACATTTTTTTTAAAAAACACATTTACAAACATTATTATGCCTTAAAGGACTAATAATGATTGTTTATTATTATATATACAGTCATTTGAGTTTCTCACAATTGTCCTGATAATTTTTTTTTTAGTACTGGCTTATTTAAATGAGGGTCTAAAATGGTCCATATGCTGCAATTGTGTTTCACCTGGAGCATTGTTATTGACTAGAATCGAATATCAGCCATTCTGTGTAATAAATTGCCATAGTTTAAAAAGTTTGAGCTGGGTATGGTAGTACATACCTGTAATCCCAGTCCTTGGGAAGCTAAGGGAGGAGTTTCACAAGTGTGAGTCCAATCTGGGCTATATAGATCCTGTATCAAAAATGCAAAAGGCATAATGAAACATGTAAAAGCAATGATTTAGCTCAATTATACAAATGTTGCTTTTAATATATTCATAAATTAGTAATGAGATACTGGTGTATGCCTATAATCTTAGCACTAGGAGGTGGGAGCATGGGGTTCAGGAGTTCAAGGTCATTCTTGGCTGCTGTATTAGTTTCCTGTTGCTGTGATAAACCACTCTAATGAAAAGCAACTTGGAGAGGAAAGGGTTTATTGCCTCTTAAACTTCCAAGTAACAATCCATCTTTGAGGGAAATCAGGCAAGAGCTGAAGCACAGACCATGGAGGAATACTGCTTACTAGCTTGCTCCTCTGGCCTGCTCTTTTATACAACCCAGGCCCACCTGCCCAGGGGTAGCATCACCCGAAGTGGGCTGGGCCCTCCCATATCACTTAGTAATCAAGAAAATGCCTCACAGACCAATCTAATAAAGGAAATTCCCCAATGAGATCCCTCTTCCCAGGTGTGTCAAGCTGACAACAAAGCCAACCATGACAGCTGCATGGTGAGTTCAAGGCCATTCTGCCTATTTCAAAACAGAAAAAAATGTAATGAGCTATTTTATGTTGGTTTTTTTTTAAATAATAATCTACTTTTTTAATATATAGCAGATTTTCATTATTTGTTCATTTCTTTTTTAAAAATATTATTTTTATTTTATGTGTATGCGTGTATTGCCTGCTTGTAGGTAAGTGCACCCATGTCGTGCAATGCCCGCGGAGGTCAGAAGAGGCTGTTGGATCCCCTGGGACTGGAGTTACGGACAGTTGTTAGCTGCCATGTGGGTGCTGGGATTCAAATCCGGGTCTTCTGCAAGGATTACCAGTGTTCTTAAATGCTGAGCCATCTCTCCAGCCCTATTTTATGTTTTTTAATTGAATTTTTATGATTTTCATGCAATATAATTTGATGTATTTAGATCTCTGTTTTATATTTTTTAGATTTGTTTTTATTAAATTTTGTTATATTTCATACAAATATCTCAAATAATCTGAATCATCTTTATAGCCCTGTCCCCGCCAGTATCCTCCCATAGCTCCCCAACTGGAACCCACAGAACTCTGACCTGGGTGTTAAGGCCCACTGTGTCAAGTCAGTGTCCCCAGATGTTCCCCAGTGCAAGTCCATCCACTTTCAGTCTAGTCAGATCCCTCTCATCTACCTATCCAAACACCTATCATTTTCTTTCTTTTTTTAAATCTGTTTTACATTTTTTATATCAAGTCTTAGTGTTTTCATTGAAGGCCTATCAATCTGGAATAACCATCTTTCAAGAGCTCACTAAGCACATGTGGCCAGTGGCTATCTCCTTCCCTCATGCAGCAAAGAAGTGTCCCTTTCTTTGTTGTCATTTATTTTTTGGAGCATTCAGTTCATTCATCACATGTATTATGTACATTTGGGATTTTGCTGATTGTGTCCTATAGTAGTGTTCCTCTCTCCCAGCTGTTTTCTATAAACTGATAGATTCTGAAGATTGGATTACTTGATTAGATTCA